AATTTTATAATGTACTTATCTCCATTAATATAATTGGGGGATTTTATTAAAGAAAATTTCTAAAATTTCACCCAACATAAAATTGCTTTACAAAAAACACGTTTAATCATGAAATTTTCATTATCGAGTCAGCTAAAAAGAAGGTGTGCTGTAATACCCGAACCCCGACGACAAACTTAAAACCTAAGTTTTCCCTTTTAAGTTGAACTTCAGAGATTTTATTGAGGCTCTAGAGATGAGGTGAGTAAAAGAGGAATAAAAGAAAAAGAAATAAAAAAGAAAAGGAAAGAAAGGAAAATAAAAGAAAGAAATAAAAATAGAAAGGAAAGAGAGGAAAAGAAAAGAAAAAGAAAAAGAAAAAAGAAAAGAGAGAGAGAAAGAAGGTTCTTTAAGAGGAGGCTTAACTGTCACTTCGGATCCGGCCATGAGGAGTCCGATTTCGGCTGAGATTTCTTCACGAATCCTTAATAGAACCTATAGGAAACTTTCTGGACCCTTGAATCATTCAAAACCATCCAGGAACGAAGAAAATCTGTAGATAAGTTCTTGAACCTTTGTTTTCGGATTTTCCTCATATCTGTAAGAAATATGGAGAGTTAGATTCTGAAATTTGAGTAAGTTAATCTAGAGAGCAGTGCGCTCATAATCCGTGAAGGAAGTCTTAATCGATTCAGATTGAAAATAGGAGTTCCGGCTTTCACTTAAGATGTAAGTATTGACATTCTTGCCAATTTTCAACTAAGTTTATTATGTCTGCAGTTAGAAATAAATTACAAGAAAAATACCTATATGTAGAAATTCCTTACGAGATATGAGGTCTACAAATATGAAGGAATCACGTTAATCCGAGTTGTGTAGAAAGAAATACTAAATATGCAAATAGAAAATAATCGGTTTTATGGAAAATCGTAGAGATGGGAGGAAGAAGACAAACGGGGGAGTGACGCGTCAGAAAATGACACGTGTCGGGCGTGGAATGGTGGAGGAAAATTACAAAAAATACTGCGTCAGGTAAGGTTTGAAGACCAGCGCCCGCTACCAGACCCGTGAACCCGCGCGCGACCTGAACCCGTCAATTGACCCGTCCCGCATTCACCACGCGTCAGCGTGGGAAAAATCGTAGGAACCCGCGTGCACCTAGATTTGAACGCATGCCCTGGCTCTCAGTGGACTAGTCAGCCCCCGCCACGTGGCGACACATCAGCGCGCGACTCTATCCCCGCAGTGTGTCCATACACGCACGTGTCTGTGCACGTGGGAAATATTCCGGTGCGTGGGGCGGGTGAACCAGCACGGTGTCACGGTCCTACATTCTTGACCGTGCGGCGTCGTGATCTATACATGCTCACGACCAGCCTTAAGGGGAATTAAGCCCCATTATATTTTTCGCCCCGGCTTTGTGGCTTCGTCGGACCTTAGGCGAGGTTTGCCTTCGTCAATCGAACATCGCTTGTGCGGAATTCAAGCTTGTTCAACCACACACGCCGCCTGTGTGTGTATGTTCAATCATCTGCGACACATCCGACTTGCCTCTACGCTAGGCCAACGCATTCGGCTCGACCTTGCCTCTGCTCGGGCCAAGGTCTCTCAATACAACGTCGCATCTCATCTTGCCACCTCGATCCCCATCGACAGGGTCCATATGTCTTGACGCCATCCCGAGTCTCGGGATGTCGTCGCTCATCATAACTCGTTCGGTCATGCCATCGAGAATGGGCCCACGTGTCGTTCATCTCATCGGGACTTCCCGAACATCCATCCATCCGGGTTCTATCGAGGCATAGGCCCTCCCGTGCCCATGCCGAGTCATTTGCGGATACCGTACCGGATAGCGGGTGTATGTAGCAACCTCCGACACGCGGGCTAGGGCGCAATACCGGCACACCCGTGCCGTCCGGTACTGTCCTTCAAAAACCCATTTCAAAGGAAGTCGCCCCGAGACACTCGTCTCGGCACGCTCGCCCACACTGTGACACACGTATGTGCCACAGGGTAGCTCACTTAGGCCACAGGGCCCAGGGGTGGTGGAGAGCTAACACCATGGTACCCCCTATAGTACATTTTGAGCCATTTTCATTCTACCAGGAGTAGACATGATTTTCGTGAGGTGTCATACGGTGTCGTGCATTGTCCGTCCCATGTCCGATTGACACCAAACTTGGCGAGCATTCATATTTCATATGGACGGACTTAACTCCCGAACCGCATGACCAAATTCCTTCCGAAACCTCGACTTTTGAGGTTAAGGCCCGGGGCCCTACCCGGCCCTTCAACAAGCCTATCTTGTCCTTCATGTCTATGCTGATGTCTCTGTTATGCTTGTGTCTCAACATGTCTTCAATGCCCACTTTGCGTGGTGGTGTGTTGGATGATGCATCGTCCTCCTCGATCGCATCATGGCATTCTTCTACATTGGCCCGCATATGGCCGGATGGGCGTCTCTTGAGGGACGCCCCTTTGCTTGTCATGGCGTGAGGGTCACAACCTACTCTCTTCATAGTAAGGTTGTGACACACGGCAGACTCTATTTTTATCCCGATTTGACTTCTGTTCGACTATTTTTCATCCCGGTTTTGATACTAACCTAAGTTTAACTTGATTTAGGACCAATGACGAACTTTCAAGAGTTTTGGAGCTCTTAATTAGCCGAAAAGTAAGCTTCGAAGGGCACGCTTCATTCCTGTAAGTAACCACACGGAATTAGGAAGTAATACTTGAACGGTGCGTTTGGTTTTCCATGCATGCTAGAGCAAATTACTCCTAGGTGGTTAGATCTAATGATTCTCTGTACGGATGAAGTTAAATATATATATATGTGGACTTGCTGCCCTAATGAGATTTCATACTCAATGTTTGTATGCTTGTTGGACTATCTTACTACTGCTTTTATTTGTTCATACCATGTTGCGGACAGGAGAAATTGTGCATATGCCCTCCGGGTGTTGATGGATGATATCGCTTCGTTGAGCTTGTATGACTATATGCGTTGTTAATCATACATAAACTCCTGTTGAATGATTGTGTGAACTTATGATAAGAATGATAAGTTGTAGTGTTGTGTTATGCTTAGGGTGTACTCTTGTAGGGATTGAGTTAGGTTTAGATAGGGGACCCTCCTAATGTTATAGTCTATGGTGTCGTGAGAGACGCTTAGAGGGAGAGACCCTTTAACCCTGGACTATTATGGACTTGTAAGTCTTGATTGAGTGATTCTGGAAACCAGGACCCCCTAACTCTATATTCTACCTACCCTTGAGACATAGAGAACCACGTTAGGACCCCGAGGTGTAGAGAGATGAGCTCTTAGCCGACAGTAGCTGGTATAGCATTCGAGTATACTCCACTTCCCTTCCTACTCCGGTGTAGTACTGTTGAGCTAGGCGAGACGCCAGTTAGGGAGGTGTTACTCCTCCCTTCCTACTCTGGTGTGGTATTGTTGAGCTTGGCGAGACGCCTGTTAGGGAAGTATTACTCAGTGGTAGATCGACTACTCTACATGGGGATCCGTCTTATGGTAAGATGTTGATCACACGGGTGGGTCAAGGTCGCCTGCATGATGAGTCCGTTCTATGGAAGGACGTTGACCATGCAGTGGCTAATTCTAGCTGGGTTGTACGAGGGGTACATATAGTTATGAGAGAGCACCTCATCCTCAAACGCTGAATACCGCTTCAAAGGTTAAGTCATTCCACCTCGAACTGTGTACTGAGAGTACTGAGACTCTAGGGTCTAGAGCATGGTAGTTCTCTCCTAAACTTGGATGTGATTAAGAGCCTACAATTAGGTTGCTTATTGAGTATATTTTTATAGTCACCCCGTTTCCCCCTTTTTTTTTTTTTTCAGGTACCGGTTGAGGTGGGGAGGTGTTCGAGAGCTGCAATGTCACAGAGAGGTGTCGTTCCGAAGCGTCAGTCCCTTGTCGGTCTTTGAGAGTCTTTTGTATTTTTCTTTCATAATTGTATTTCTCGTTTGTAATATTTGACTTTAATTTTATATTTAATTTTCGTGTCGTTGACTCCTTTTTCTTGCTTTAAATTTTATTAGATTTTCATCTCCTATTTTATCGAGTCATGACATGTGTCTTGTCCGTGTAGGTAATAACTTTTTTCCTTTAAGTCATTCTTAGTTATCCTATTCTCAAGATCATTTTCAGATGTGCTCTCAGTTCATTCAAGTATCCCTTCTTTACTCGGGTGTAACATAGTAGATTCGAGGTTCACCGATGAGCTCCAAGAAGAAGATCATTGGTTAATGAAACTTCACTCCCTCAAAAATATGTGGGGCTGAGACTCGAATGAGGAGATATTCAATTGTTCACAATTGAATGGATTGAAATATGAGGGGCAAAACGTGTAAACGATTCGGGCTCCCAAAACTCAGGCAACTCATCGAAGTTCTCGTGAATTCTACGACAAACTTTTTTTTTCAATGGTTACATTACCTTAAAAATAAAAGGCTGAAAAATGGAAGAAGAAAAAACTACTTTGATTTCTAATAAGGGGAAGGTGCTCATGGAGTCGAGCAACATCCATTGATCTTTGATCAGCATGGTTTATGGATGAGCTAATCTTCTTCCAACTCCCAACCCTGTGCAAATTTAATAATAAAAAAAATAAATAATACCCTTAAAATTTTAAAAAGTTTCATCAATACAACTTTTAAAAAAAAATTTAAAATATTTTGAAAGTAGCATTTACATCTTTTAGTTTATAAAATTAAAAAAAAAAGTTTAAAATTTTATCATCATTAATATATATATATAGACGAAAACCATGTACACATATCTCATTGATTATCTCCAAATTTCTTAATGTTACTCTCGAAACCTCTTAGTATTTTTGAAACGTGGTACTAATAGTAAGGATATTTTTGAAATTTATAAAAAAAAAATGTTTTAAGAGTATTAATGAAACTTTTGAAACTCGAGCTTATTTATTAAACATTTTTTTAACCTTAAAAAGGTATTTTTTAAACCAAGTGTTAACGGTTTCATCTAAAACAAAACTTTATAGATTTTTTTTTTTTAAAGTTTAAAATATTTGTGAAATTTTTAAAAATTTATGAGTATTTTTAAAAGTATTTTTTTATTAATTTTAAAAAATTAGAATAATTAAATTGAGAAAGCAAAGGGAGAAGAGAATGAGAATAGTTAATTGAGTAAACTAAGGAAAAGAGAAATGAGAAATGCTGGAATTTGAATGAGACACATTCTTGGGTATCAAGGAAAGGAAACTAAGGATCTATTATAAATATGAATAAAGGGTAGGTCATAAGAGTAATGGAGCTATCACCACTGCGGAATAAGGACACGGTGGTCAAGATTACTACCTAAAATCTGAAATCTCATTTGGCAAATCTTGGAGATGATCGTAAAATGAAACCCAAAAAAACTTCAATCTATAGAATACAAACTATTCGAGGGCTCCATAAATTTCAAGGGAGGCTCTATAGTGTACTTTGTTCGACGGGAGGATTGTTGGAAGAGAGTCCCACATTCACTGATTTAGATAATGATCGTGGGTTTATAAGTAAGTAAATACATCTCCATTGATATATGAGATCTTTTGGGGAACCCTCAAGAAAAGCCCATGAGAGATTATGCTCAAAGTGGATCCGTGATGTCTAACACAGACCATATAAAGAAGGTTGTTAATTCAACTGCATTCACTCGTCTTCTCTCTCTCTCAACTTTTCCTTTTCGTTTCTTCGCTGTAGGTGGTTGGAGTCGTGTGGCGATCCGTGGAGGTGTGGCAACCGACGGGAACTCTCTAACGGGACGTTACATTTCACAACTGAGTGGTCGTGGAATATGGGGGGCAAAACGTGTAGACAGTTGGGGCTCACTTAAATTTCAAAAAAAACAAAAGTACCCTTAAATTTCAAAAAGGTTCCAACAATTCTCTTCCATTTTTTAAAATTTCAAAATATCCTTACCATTAGTATTATATTTAAAAAATATCCTTACCATTAGTATTCAATTTAAAAAATACCCATGAAGTTTTAAAGGTAACATTAACTTCATTTACCTTTGTAAAAAAAAAAAGTTTAATTGTTTTTTTTTTTACCCTTGTGGATATCTCTTTTTTTTTTTTTTTTTACCGTTTTT